CCCCCCCTCCCTCTTTAAAGCCCCAGTACAAGGCCGCAGGCAACTGGAGAACCTGTTTTGAGCCTCTCCGGAAATTTAGGAGGGCCAAGCGCTGTAGATCAAAACAAATGAATTGGCGGCGCGCACCCCCCGAAAGGGGTCCGCCGCCGATAGCTGGCGCATACTGGTGTTTTAAACGACCAGTACACTGCCCCGCCCTTGCAGAAAGTCGCAAGTTGCCACTCCGATATTTTTCTTCGGATCGGGGCTACCGAACCACAATCATGGCTAGTGGCGCCAGCCAAAAAAGAAAAGAAGTGCGCCGCTGGCGGTTAGGAAAAGCTTAGCGCGCAGTGCAGCACCTGCAGGCCCGGGGTGTATCTTAGGGAAAAGCTTTACGTCGAAAAGCACAAGACTAGTGTCAAAGATTGACAAGATCGACAAGCGACAAGAGCGACAAGAGCAACAAGAGCGCTCACCATACTGACTCGAGACAACAATGTCCCAGCCTTCCAGCACTGGCAGCGCAGGGATGGTACACACAGATTGGAGTCGAGAATTTCATTTGATGCCGTCGGATCGCGTGCATCTGTGGCCATCGGAAAGTTGTAGGCGTTCGTCTGCAGGAATGCTAACAGTGCATCGCTGGCAAACGCGCACATTGTTTTTCACTGCACATCAGTGGAAAAAATAGGCCTGCATTTGATGATGGACGGCGCATTGGGGTGATGACTTTCTTAAAAAAAAAAGGTCCAATCATCAATGATCCTAGATTGCGAGCGCTGCAGATGACGGCGCGCGGGCTGGATCGAAGAAAGAAAGGAGGAAGAAAAACATAAACAACGGTGGATACATTGTTCCGACAAAACAAGGAAAAAAGAAAATAGAAGAGAAGAATAATGACAAAAAAACTTGAAAAGAAAAGAAAGTGCCGGACGGAGGAGATAGAAAAGGCAAAGTGAAAGAGAAAAAAAAAAAAGTGTGCTGCTTTTGTTTTCTTGTCGGTGTGCGACATAAGTTGTATTTAAAAAAAAAACACTCTATGGGCCTCGCCGCACCACTCTTCAAATCTCTGTTTTTTTTTTCTTTTTTCCTTTAAAAAAAAAAAAATCTATGTTTTTGAGAGTGGTGGGTCCTCGCTTCACTACAGTAACTCTCCAAACATGCAAAATGCCAATGCATCTTCCGCTAGAACATGGAAACATCTTCGCCACCATATTTTTTGTCTTTTGTGCATGTGGAGAGTAGTGGATCGAGGCCCGTGGTGTCGACACTATCGCTCTTGGATTTAGAAGTCACTGTCGAAGGGAGGGGTGCAGACAGCCCATTCCAAGAGAGCTTTGAAGCAATGTGAAAGGGAGGAGGGGTTCGAGAGTAAATCTCAAACTTTGTTTTTTGCCGCACCCGCCGGCAGACGGCCCATTGCGAGAGAGCAGACGGCCCATTGCGAGAGAGCAGACGGCCCATTGCGAGAGAGCTTTGAAGCACCGCCGCCGACTTCAATCCAAATCTGGAGAGCAAGGCTTCTGGCCCACAAAACGACAAGCACTTTTACACAGAGGGACAACGGCAGCAGGGTAGGGGGGAGGGGTTTGAGAGTAAATCTCAAACTTCTTTGCTGCACCCGCCTGCAGATGGCCCATTCCAAGAGAGCTTTGAAGCACCGCCACCGACTTCAACCCAATCTCAAGAGCAAGTTGAGGCCGACAAGGCTTTGGGTCCCAAAGCGACAAGCACTTGTACACAAAGGGACAACGGCAGCCGGGTAGCGGGGAGCGGTTCGAGAGTAGTCTCAAACTTCTTTGCTGCACCCCCCGCCTGCAGACGGCCCATTCCGAGGGAGCTTCGAAGCACTGCTGACTTCAACCCAAATCTGGAGAGCAAGTCCACAAGCCCGTCACACAAAGGGACGGACACCATGGCAGCAGGTCAGACGGTACCCTGTTCGAGAGACGAGTGAGGCGATGAGCACTCTCAAAGGGATTTTTCGCGCATCCTCAAGTTCGAGAGTGCTCTCAAACTTTTTTCTCATTTCCCGCGGTGTTGCGGCGAGGCCCTCGTGCGCGATTTCTTCCATTCTAAGACTTTCCTTTGCTGCTGCGGCTATCGCCTGCACAACCCCCACCGCGGACAGCAAGCTCGTGATCTTTTTTTTTTTTTTTTTTTTAAAGAGAAGGATTCAAGCGGATGCGGATCCAAACAACAAGGACAACACCGAAAGAAAAAAAATGATGGTCATGTATAGACCTTGGTCACACGTTCCGTTGTTCCGTTGTTCGTCCCACAGTCAGTTGGCACTCTAGCTGTAAGGGACTTCAGCTGGTGTGAGACTTGCAGCGGGACGATGCTTAGGCCCCATCCAGGGCTGCCTGACCAAGTTCGCATCGTCAAGATATTCTAAGCATGTCGTGAACCCTTCTCTGTACTCCAGATCATCTAGATCAAACACCGTCTTCAAATGACAGCAGTACTTTCCGCCCAACCACTTTTCTGGCTCGAGGATGAACGTGAACCCGCGACATTTCGTCTGTTTACGGCACAGCATCCGGCAGCCCCGAAACATCGTGATGATCTTATTCTCCTCCAATGTACAATCCACTCTCCCATAACTTCTTTTGCTGACAGTCAGGCCATTCCAACACCTCCATGTCGCCTCCGTCGGATATATATATACACATAGACTGAGCAAAACCAGAATCAACCCAAGTGCAATGGATACCGTGGATGCCCTCTGCATTCTGACACCCGCATTCGTCAGGGATATGGCACGTGGGAACTTGGCCTGCTCAACTTGAAGCACCGGCTGCTGAGAGACGAGGCGCGCGGGACTCGATGACCACGCCGCCGTGCGCCGTAAACACACTCCTCTGCGAAAGAAAGCGGCATCAAGTATAGTAAGTTGTGATGTTCTTTATTTGTTTTCTTTTCTGATGTCTTTCTTTTCTTTTCGCCAAAGGGATAGAGGGTTTACACAAGGGCTATTCGGAAAAAAAAAAAAGCAAAAAAAAAAAGGGAAAAAAGTATGGTTACAATCCAGACATCCGGACGGCAGTGCAGACGTTATGGGTCTGGATATCCGGGTCTGGTGTCCGGTCCAGAGTGTCCGGATCCATTCCCCACCCACACCCCCACCCCCCAAAAGAAGCCGACTTAAGAAACAACCACAAAAATCTTTTCAAAAATAAAAAAATATATGTTATGCAGCATTGCAATGTAAAAATCGTGTAGCAGAGGACCACCTTGAAATTCGTGGCCAAATCCAAGGAAAAATATAAAAACGTTTCCCCCCCCCCCCCCCCTTCTTTAAACCACCAGTACATCCAGCTATCGTCCGCGGGCCCTTTTCGGGGGCCGCCTGCTGCCAATTCAAATTATCGATGGCGCTGGGCTCTGAAAAATTTGTAGACGACGAGTTTTCTTTTCAGCAAGGCCGGGCAAGGCCGGGGCAGTGTACTGGCGGTTCTAGGGGGGTTTTCAATCCCGACGGTCTGGAGCAGTCCAGACACAGGTCCTCTCGGACGTTGGGACTGGTCCCCTGTCCGGGTCCAGCATAACCCGAGCGGTTTGGCGGAAAAAGCCGTCAAAGTTCCAGGGACTTTTTAGGTCAGAAGGAACACGAGCGGTTTGGCGGAAAACCACCAGTACCTTTCTCAGCTATTGATGCCGAGCCTTACAACCACACCCTGCGCGCCAATTTTTAAACCACCCTTTAAAAAAAAAAAAAAAAAAAAGGCAGTACCTTTCTCAGCTATTGATGCCGAGCGTGTTTGGCGGAATGGATTTAAACCACCAGTACCTTTCTCAGCTATAGATGCCGAGCCTTACAACGACGCCCTGCGCGCCAATTTTTGCCGAGCCTTACAACGACGCCCTGCGCGCCAATTTTTGCCGAGCCTTACAACGACGCNGCGCCAATTTTTGCCGAGCCTTACAACGACGCCCTGCGCGCCAATTTTTGCCGAGCCTTACAACGACGCCCTGCGCGCCAATTTTTGCCGAGCCTGAAAGGGACCCGCACCAGGTCATGGAAAAAAAGAGGGCGGTATCGGTACCGCCCTCCGTGAGACGGAGGTGGTGGATCGCCCACCAGCACACGGACACGAAGGAGCCCTTGGAACGCGAAGGGGCCCTTGTTTTCACTACTGAAAACACACGCACACACACACACAAAAAAAAAATAAAAAATAATAAATAAATAAATAAATAAGTAAATAAAAAATTGAAAGAAGCTGCCGCACATGCCAGTTTGCTCCATCCATCTCGTAGCACACGAGCTCTCAGTCAAATAGAGCTCAAGTTCAAAAAAAACAAAACAAAACAAAACAAATTGGGGCAGGCAGATGCATCCACCCCAGAACCCTAGCCACATACGTGGCTCTACAAATAGTTGCACAGTTGGCCCTGCGCTTGTCAGTGAGAAGGGCAGAGGGATTCATAAGGGTCCTCCCCTGTCTTCACGGTGCACCACCTATCACATCATATGCCCAAATCAGACCATTTCTCGATTTATGTGTGTCATCCATGATCCAAGCGCAGGGGCCAAGTCCCCCTTACCCCAATGATCTATTTCTGACCGCAGATTTGGAAGATCAACGGCCAAAAATCAACAATCAGCGAAAGTGGGCTAATGCTAATCTTCCCTGTAAATAGGGATGTCCCGAAGGACTTTGCCCAAATCAGATAAGTTACTTTGCTTGCATTTTCTTTTCCTTTTTGCAAGGAAAATGAGCGACAGCGAACTTCAGAAATCAAACAGCATCATAGACATGAGACCAGATAGTCGTGACCTCAAACCAATAGCAGAATTGCATCACGAGTTCCACCAAATAAGAGCACAGCAAAAGCTCATCATTGACAATGCTGGAATAGTCTCATCATCATCAACGAAGAACCAATGCCCATATCCTATCTGGAGCTCGGCGCCCAGACTACAGATGGCAGATCCTATCTAGCCTATCTACAATGCCGCTGATGACGTCAACAGCTCCCAGAAGTACGAGCAGATCTCGGCCAATGCCGTTCGCCTCAAGCACCAGGTATGTGTTACATCTTCGACTCACACGGGTCCTACCGGACCCGACTTAGGGCCGGAGGGACACACCAGGGCCTAAAGGCCCGACCTTTGGGGTTACAGGCCCTAAAGGCCTGATTTTGGACCATCACCCATCGGGTAGGTCCAAACGGCACTTCGTTTGGGCCTGGCGGCGCTCTTGAAGCTGCCGCCCGCCGATTGAGGCTGAACCGTCCATCTGGACGGTTCAGGGTCTGGTCTGGCCTGGCCTCGCAGCATTGAGGCCAGACCATTGCCCACCGGTATAAGTACCGGTATCCGTCTCAGTTGAGGGATCGGCCTACCGGAACTCTACCGGCACGGCATGGTCAGTGCTAGTGCACTGTTTGATGCGCTAAACTTAGCGCAGGGGCTGAAGCAGGAGCGCAGCATAGCGCAGCAGCGAGCGGAGCAGCAGCAGGGCGACTGAGCCAGCACAGCGGCCATTGCCGCCTGAGGTACCGGGAGCTTGGAAGGTCTCTCCTCCTCTCCCTCGCCAGTCCCCTCTCTCTCTCTCTCCTCTTCCTCCTCCTTCTTCTTCTTCTTCGTCTTCTTCTTCGTCTTCTTCTTCTTCTTCTTCTTCTTCAGATTGGAGACTATCCAGTTGGACAGAGATCAGAGTTGGATTTCAGTGATACGAGACTGTGGTACTTAACTGATTGGAGACTTGGAGATGATTGAGGTTGATACTAGGCTGCATCACAGTTGGACACCGGTTACATCTGGACTCTGTTATCTCCGACATTGGTGACCTTTGGTCCTCRACATTTTGATCTTGTTATATGACATTCTGGACTACCATTTCGGAGACCTACCAGACTCTATCTTGTGACCTATGGGTGTGATCTACCTCCTACCTCCTTCGTCTCTCCTCCCACCTTTCATCTGTGTATGTGTGTACAGGATCTGGGTATCGTCTATGAATGACCCAGACCCCACCATCTCATGATTGTATGTGTGTGGAGTGATGCCATGTAGGTCAGTCTATGTGAGTCAGTTCGTTACCAGACTTCCGCTGCATAAATGCTCATCCTATATTGGTTGATCTTTGGTTCTGCCCATACTCATTGAAGTATGTAACAGTTTTGGTATCGGAGCAGACCAAAACGGATCTGCTCACCAGGTAAGTCCGTTTAGAATAAGGTTATCATGTTTTGATCTTCTAAATCGGCGCTGAAGTATTATCAAGTTCAAAGTTGCAAATTTTTCTTTCTTTCGGTAGTCTGGCTATTTCAGCATTTCCGTTTCAATTCAGTATTCGGACTTTTTTTTCTTTTTTTTTCGGATTTCTGTTGTACACGGTATGCTGTTTAATTAGATCCGAGAAATTGATACTAATCCAACATTCTGTTTGATTCGGATTTCTGATTAAGTAATTCGTAATTAGGGTTGAATCGGTATCATGTTTGAAATTCGGCTTTTCTGATTTTCATTCAGCATTCCGTTTTTCGGCATTCTGTTGTAAAACCTATATTTCGTTTTCTCTTGAGATCTCCGTTGTCTTTCAGTATGGGAATTAGGGTTATGAAAATCTTTCGGCTTTAGTTCAACTTGGGGAAACTCGAACGTTTTGGGACCGCAAATCCGGAAATTTCGCCGAAACGCGGAAATTAGGGTTGGGACCGAAATTTTCGCAAATTTTTTTTTTCGTTCTCCTTGTTTGAGAAATTCCGAATATAGGTTTAGGCTTTTAAAAATCGGATTTTGACGGTGGGAATTCCCAAAAATTCGCATTTTTGAAAATTCGAGCGTTTTTTCTTCTGAAATTTTCCGAAAATTTTTTTAGCACACTAAGCCGAATCTGACCCTCAAACTGCAACTTCCGGGTAGTTCACTCAGTAACGGTGAACTCCCGGACTCAAAGGGATCTCAAAGAGACCTAATCATATTTCAAATTCGTTTATTAATTGGTTCTCTTTATTTACAAACATTGTTTTACTGATTATCATTAATTGGTTATCTTTATTACAAACATTGTTTACTGATTATCATCCGGATTTATTTCGTAAATTATCATTAATTAATTTTATTGATTAAATCGTTATAAATTCCTTATTACGAATTTTCGAAGGGTTTACAGGAAATTTATTTTTTTTTCCTGTTTGATTAGGTGTCTACAGTCCAGCAGTGGGACAGGGGATTGTATGGATATTGCGTGATTGTTCTACACCTGTTCCCACTCTCCCTACCCCCCGTGTTCTGTGATTACCGGGACTTCTCAAGTACCGCATCGGTTCAGACTGATGTCGACGGAACAGGACACCGGGGCACTGCCACGACGCAGTGCCAGAATCGCAGTTCGTGCCCGCCCTGCAGTACCTCCAAGACCGAAAAAACTCAGCAGRCGGACGACTCCAGCAGCATCAAGTACGGCATTGACGGTACAAGACGCCACCGGAGATCATCCCGCATACCCAGTCCGAGGAGCCAATGAGCCAGCGGCTGATTATCGTGGGCGGCTACTGGCATTTACGGAAGCCGTAGCTGCCATCGAGGCCCGGAAGGAGACAGCAGAGGTAGAACGTCAGCGGCTAGCCAATGAAGCRGCAGCCGAAGCTCAGCGAACGACTGAGACTGACGCGGCGACACGAGACAGACGGAATGCCAGCAGCACGGAGTCCTTGATTGCTTGTGAGCATCAGTGGACGACGATGCTCCAAGACATGATCTTTGTGCCTACGGAGGCACAGGCAGATCCGACACCGGCGGAGGCAGAGAGAAGTAACCTGGCTAACTTACTGCTGGGCACGATATGACTGCGTTAACAACTGCTATCCGCACAGAGGCAACGCAGCAGCAGCAACAGCATCAGCTGTTGAATTCCACTATCACACGCGTCAACAGCATAGAGGCTAACGCCTCAGCAGCGCCAGGCTGCACGACAGACGTGACGAAGCAACTCAACGAGCGCATCGATCACGTCGTCACCATCATCGGCGACATAAGTACTTTCAACGGACCAGACTCGATCAGCAGCACGGTGGCCGCCATCAAGACGGACATCACCAAGCTACAGACGAGACCGGAAACCGCTACAAAGACGTTCAAGATGCCGCACTTCGACATCAGCAAGTTCGACGATTACAACAAGTCGGACGCCTTGTTATGGTGGCAACGCTTCCTCACGGAAGCATCATGCCGCATGGTCCCGGCGGACGACATGTTGAAGGCACTATATCTGCAGCTGATTGGAGGAGCGCAGGGATGGATGAACCACCTAGCGGCTACACACAAGTGCACTATCGCCGAACTCCACACGCACATTACGTGGAAGGAATTCGAGCAGCTATGGTTCACCCGGTTCATGGTCCGCAACGTCGTGAAGGCGGCCATGAATGAGGTGTACACATGCTCTCAAGGGAACATGCCAACTCGAGACTGGACTACGAAGTGGCAAAAGATAGTGACCACAGCAGGTTTCGACTTGACGTTTCCAAATCAACGATCCGAGTTCTTCTCGCGATCGTGCGCGGGATTGAGGTCGGCACTCGGTAATGAGTACGACTATACCACATTCCAGGCCATTCTGGATCGAGCGAACTTGGTCATCCAAACGGACGACAAGGCCGCTAACGAGAGACAATCCCAGCCGCACTATGTGCCTAAACAGGCCTATCAACGTCCGGCACATAACAATGCCGTGTTTTCTGAAGAAATCGACGACCACCACGCTGCGGCAGCATCCTCGAGTGATGGAGGAATGGTCGCAGCGCTCCCACCGAAGCGTTCGAAGAGAGTTCGCAAGAACAAGGCGACACAAGRGACAGCGGCGACGGGAGCTGGGCAGCAGCCATGGACGGCTTATAAGATCACCAAGGAGGTCTATGACCTACGTCAGAAGTACGCATACTGCCTATGGTGCAACAGTGTAGTACACACTACCGCACAATGCCCGGACAAGGGCAAGGCACGCATACCCCGTCCAGCCAACTCGAAAAACTGAGTTACGCAAGGAGAGGGGCGACGTCTCTCCTCACTCCGCCGGACCCGGTTGCCTTGCTAGCAATCGATGTCACTACCGGGGAGCATGCGTTAGTCGCTGATCCTCGTGCTACGTACGAGGATTATGCCGCCCARCTGGTACCACCATTAGACCAGCCTAGCCACGTGCATGTAGATTGCGTATGCGCAGCCTGTACACCGTCGGCAAGTGATCCGGTCAGTTC